ATACTACCGAGAGAGGCACCTTTAGAAAAGCCACCCTGATAGTGATGGTAATTGATGATGTACATTGCCTTTATACAAAAACTTATAATGAAAGGAACGCTTGTTTTTTTTCAACTTGCAGTAAAATTCAGTAACGCGTGACGCGGCGACATCGTATCGTTAAGGGAGGCACTATTTGAATTTCTTTACTCAAATTCGGCCAGTGCTTGACAACAATTCCACCCGATAGTATATAGTGATGTAGCCCTAACTACACGTACTAGTAACAGAACTAAAACGTGCTCACAATGAATCGGTTGGTGTACATACTTTTATAAATCACTTTAACGCGATCAATACGAATGGCTACTCTGTCCATCCTGTATTAACAAATGGTCAACAAATTTCTTTTTTGTGTTATTTTATCTATGAAAAGTTTTCGGTAAAGTAAACATAAAATGAAAAAAAAAAAAAAATGTCTATTCGTGAATAAGCGTTAACTACGGACAGAGAAAATATGAATACTAAATTATAGCCCGGGCCGTTTTATAAAATAAATTGGAAGTATGATGTATGAAGTTACAACGAACTAGCAAAATGAGTTAAAGAATGATTTTGGGAGGTACATATTGTTATGTTCAGACATCAATGATTTCTTTAGTAACAGATTTATTTTCGTGTGTATTCATAGCGTGTAAAATGATCTTAAAATACTTGCAGACATGTAATGTATAATTTAACAACATCTATGTAGTTTACTTTATATGTGAATGAGACCTTTTTATCTATATACTTTCAAAGATGTTGAAACCTAAAATGTGAGGAAAACAAGAAGAGATAAAATGTATTTACATTTCTTTAACCGTATGTTTGTCCTATTCGAAAGCTTGCCGTCTTCTTTACTATTCATTTCACGACATCAATATTTGGTTTTGAAAATTGCAAAATTATTTTCAATTTTGTAGTTGATTGTGATGTTGTCAAATGTTGATGATTTTGTAAAAGTATTGTTGCTTTTTAATAGAAAAGTATACAAACTCATATTTAATGTAATAATAAAAACGGTTTGAATAAAACACATCTAAATTTAATAAATATTTTATGTATGCTAAAAAAGTAAACTCCTAGAATCTATAAAAAATGCCAAATCTTATTTACAAGGCACTTTTGTAGTATGTGATCGTTTTAGGAAAGTTGTTATTATTTGTGTTTGTCGTGGGAAAATATTCAGCAGAGGAGTACAGTATAAAATAAACATTGCAGGATCATATTTGAAGAAAATATTTTTAGCGACGCGATTTTTCCATATTTGTAAACATGTTTCGGTAGTATTCAATCTTAAAGACTTTAAAAATATAAAAGATAATCAAAAGCCTTCTGTATTATCCTTTATAACGCCCTTCTTATTTTAAAATATTGAATGGTGATTTTTCCAGGTCCATCCAGGGAATCACGTTGAGGGTAGCAGATTGTCAAGCAATTAGAAGGGACTGAGCAATGCGTGACCTTCGTGGTCACCCATTGCTTAGATATCTTTTCGGTTAGAGAGCGCTACTCTGAATAACTGGGGGATAGGCTTGACTATGAAGTAGAGGGTTAAAGTCTCTGTATTTTACACCATTTAATTAATTGTTAGAAATCAAAAACACTCATTGCTGTAGATATCATTTTGTAGGTTCTTTACGTGCTTTCTATAACTAATTACGTGTCAATTTATATAATCTAATTCTATATATATTGTAGGTAAACGTAATTATTAGAAATATATACAACATTTAGATTGCAACTGGGTCGTTATATACATATTTGTTAATTAACGTCATGAAAACATATCCGATTTTTGTGCTCCAAATACATTTTGTGAATCCAAATAAAATTTGTTATAAATAATGTATACATAAATATAACTAAGTATAGAATAATAAAAAAAGAACACTAATGTAAAGCCAAAAACAGTTTTATTTTAGTTCATAAGCCGTAGGTGCTAATAATTCGTAGTAAGGGCAAAACATATCTTGTAGCAGAAAAAACTCCAGAAGCACGCTTAGGATTATCAGCACATCACACGTGTAGTAAACTTCAATAAATTCGACTGAGTGCCTGGCGCTAAGCCATCACTTATTTTATGATCTCATAGAACGTGCGTCCTAATTGCAACCAACACAAATCACATTTTAAAATTTATTAAACATCGTGTCAAGGTTAAAAGCAGTTTGGGCTGTGATGAAATAAAAAGGCTAATCTAGCTTTTATGTAACAAATAGTAAAATAAAATTTTATTATTCTCCTTCGTTAGAAGCCTTTGGTAAACAATGTCGAACTCTTTTAGCATGGTATTCTACAACATTTTATTATATATGCAAAGCGGACTTCAAACGTAATTAAATATTATTCTGCTATATTTCATTACGTGGCCTATACTCGTATGAGTGAGGAATTTGCGGATAAGAAATCCCTGCAACTAAATTATGGGTTTATAACCATTTGAGTCTAAATGCTAAACTTTGAAAAGTGAAAAGAAATTTAATATTAATAAGGAATGCGAAAATTGTTGAATTAATGCCGCGACGTTGTCTGTTTTGTCGCCAATTAAAGTAGCATGAAATTCATTATTATCTAACTTGAATCACATTTAAACTTGAAGACCGTAAGTTGAAGCTAGGGGCGCGCAGAAGTGTCATAATTTGACTACAAGCGACGCGACATCCGCGCCCAGAGAGTTTTTAATTAAACCGAAAGAGCATAAATTAAAATGAAAACAGAATTCAAAATTTACCGTTGAATTCTGCATCGTATAATATGATATGAGTTATTTTTTTGTTTATGTATAACTGATGTTACGCTTTCAGACCTTAGACTAGCTTCATCGAACGCAGAACCGGTGGGCTAGTCAGAGCCCACGGGTAGGAAGGAGGCCCTCCTCTGTTTGTTGATGCACTAACTGAGTGTGTAGTGTTATTTAGTGGGACCCACGACGGTGTGTCCGACATACTTAAGTCCCCTTCCTCGACCGGGTCGGTGAGGACGTTACGCGGGCGACGCTTGTTGACGTTCGCGTTAGCGTCGGGTTGGTAATTTGCTGCAATTATTTTTTTTGGCTTTTAGTTATTGGCTTGTATGAACAATCATTTGCATTGTAATGTATCATAAATTGCATTCCCTATCGTTGCTACTAGCTTATTCCTAAAAAGCTTAAAAGAAGTACGTTTCTTGGAATTGAGAATTTTGTGTGAGTATGGTTTCCAACAAATAATTTTAAGAATATTTTAAAATTAAGTTTAGGCGAAAGGTGAAAATGAAGTAAGTGAAAGTCTTCCTTGTTAAAACTTAACAAGTAAACCCATCGGAAATTTTTATCCCAGTTTTTAGAGAATGAAAAATATCATTCGAATATGACGGTAAATTTCACCGAAAGAAAAATTGTTATAATAGCTCGGTCGGTAATCGAACGGCCCCGAAACAGAAGGCCGTGGTTCGTGTCACGATCATTTACACACTTTTTTTTTACTTTTTTTCGATTCCATATCATTGCTTTCTTTATTTTTTATTTTTGTCGATCCAGATGATATTGTTCTTTTCTCCCTTTTTTTTTAAAGTTCTTTCTTTTGTGAAAAACACTAGTTCATATTTTCTTATTATTACGTCGATAAGATCGAAAATATTATGTATATTTCATTACTCAGTAATTTGTATCTAAAAGTTATTTCCGAAATACAAGATTTAGAAAAAAGCAAACCGAGCAAAGCTCGGTCCTCCAGGTACTATTTATTTATTTATTTATACTTTATTGTACACCAAAAATAAAAATATATAAAAAGCAAATTACAAATGAATATAAAAGGAAGTACAATAGGCGGTCTTATCGCTCAGAAAGCGATTTCTTCCAGACAACCATTGTGAAAAGAATATTTGCTAATGAGACATAAAGAAGAGAGCAGAGGGAGGTGTACATGAATCACTTATGAACATCGGATGAAGGCGAATTTATACGTCTATGAGATAGTCAAAGATTTCGGGAAAAATAGGAAAGGAAAAAGGAAAGCGTGAATTCACAGTTCCAAGTAATGAGCTTTTAATAGGTTTTTAAAAGAAAGAAGTGACTTAGCTTGTCGAATGTGAAAGGGCAAAGAATTCCACAAACGCACAGCTGTCACTGTAAAAGATTTTTACTTTGTATTGTACTATGTATATAATGTGTCAATAAGTGTTCATGTATGAAGCGTATCTTATTTTGAAGACTAACGTAAAGTATACTTGTCTATTTTTCATTTAAAGAAATTGTCCACATGTGGTATCATACATTGTTTAGCAAAGTTTTTAAACGTAAGTTTTTGTGCGCACACATTAAATTTATTCTTTTTGTCATTTTTTTATTAATAGCAGCAAACATAAGCTCAATGTAATTCTAATAGTGTTTGCATCGTTAAATTTTATGAAGAAATATGGCAGTTACGGCGTACCGACAAAAAACATCTTTGAGAAATAAAATACACAGATAATATTTCATAGACGGGTTTGTTGCGCTGTTTCAAAGAAGTAGTAATTATGATTGTACATCTTAAAATGATGATGAAAACTATTCTTTTTCTTGAAGTTACCATAAATGAGTTCTTGCTCTAACAAACGATACTGATCTCGGTACCAATATAAATGAATTATCTGGTTAATTAAGCAGTATGTACTTTTTGTATAAGCTAAATTTATTAATGAATTTATTTCATCGTGTCTACATAATTATACTCGTTTATTTATCAAATAATTTTACGTAAAAATTTAAAATATGCTATTCTGCAAGCATGTATTCCCAGTTTGTGCTATAATTGGCGTTTGCCGATATATTTTAAGTTTAAAAAACAATACTGAGTATAATATGTTTCTGGAAAATGTTATATAAAAAGAGTTAAATACGTATTTTAATACCAAAACCTTGAGTACTAACTCTGTAAGTTGAGTCAGTACTCAAAGCTTTGTTTTTTAAATGTGAACCATCGTTGTCAATAAGCTGTTAGTTAATAACTTACCTTCTTCATGAATGACATAACGTTCGTAGGCAGCATTGTGAGTATTTTTGTGTATTTCACTTCACTTACATGATAATGTCAGTCAACTGTTCCCCACTGCCGATACACCACTGTAATAGACTACCAAAATACCACAATAGAGTTTTTATTTGGCTTAGTCCGGGATTAGCACAGTGGCAGTGAAGCAGGACATTTTACTCTTTAATTTATTTACACTTCAGCTTGCACCAAAACCTGAAACAATCAAAATAATCCATTAAAACATTTCAAAATTAAAACCAAAGAATTTTTTTGGGCTTGATGAGCCACTGAACCTCGGAAACCAACGAAATGCTCCCCTAACACGTGCAAGCAGACGCTCACTAACTAGCAAACGCACACTCCTACACACATGCATGCGCAAATTAATTTCCGTCTGTATAATTTGTTTAAAAACATGTCAATCTTATAAAATAATCGTACATTTTACGGTGGTAGGGCCACGCAGCAGCCTCGGCTGTTGCACAAATGAGCAGGCCCGTCCGGGTAAGTACCACGACCTCACAGAAGATTAGCGTAAAGTGGAAGTATGACAAATACTTTCGCGTTTCGTCTGGCGAGTGAGGTAGCTGGAGCGCAATTTTCAAAAGGTTGTCAATGGTTCAAAGGGCTGGCAGATGCCCATGGGCGGCGGTATTCACTTAACATCGTGTGAACCGTCTGCTCATTTGACAACATTTCGCATAAAAAAAGAGTAACAGAATATTATTATATATCTATCATATGTATTTATTATCAAAAGAAGAACGTTTATGTATGTTTATCAGTTAGCCATAGTAAGTACAAGCCTTGCTTATTTTGGGGTTAATTACGTAACCTACTTAAAAGTGTGTCGCCTACTTAAAAACGCACACGGCGGAGCCGCGTAACCTACTTAAAGACGCACACGGCGGAGCCGCATGTCACGAAGCACCGAGTCAGCAGGCCCGACGCCCTTGCAAGAATCACGTAGTTCCAAATATGTAAACTACTTAAAGACGGAATCGGAATCGGAATTCATTATTCTTCGGTCCCACTTCGACCGAGATAATCACTTTAGTTTAGTTTAGTTGTAGAATTATTGTAATTTTTCTTTTTTTATTAAATTTATATTTTAAGAATTGGTTTTCTTCAAGTCCTGCGGCTGCAGCTAACGTAATTGGTTAGATAACGTTGTGTATAAATGTTCCAAAAATAAAAAATAAAAATAAAATGTTCCAAAATATTTATTTATTTTATTAATCAGTACCTGGAGGACCTGTTTTTTTTTTCGGTAAACCATGTATTTTGGAAATTACATTGCAATGGTATATCCATTAATTCTGTAAGATTTAATCTTGTTTGATTGTTCCACCCGAGTGTTGCCTATATAACATATAGAATTTAAATATATTCTTTTTGAAATAATAAAAAATATCAGGAGAATAAATCGCCATTATTCAAGTCCACATATATTTAATATAAAATTTATAAAAGGCCAATGTGTCGATTGAAGCAATGAGGGTATTACATTAGAGATTAGATGTTTATTAAAACATAACTGCACATGTACATGTGCTTTATTACGTAAAGCTCAGAGCATAATTAATTGAATTTAAATATATCTTATTTGCTACATTAAAATGACTTACTACAAACGTTTCGCAAGTAGTTTTCCTCGTGTAATTAGTGCACGTCGATACAAAACAAAAACTGAATTAGTGCTGTATTTAAAGTCAAATTTATGTTAAGGCTTAAGTTTATTGAATAAATAAGTAATGCGTTTATTATTGTTAAGATTTTCCCACATGCAAGTTTAATTTTGATAGTGACCATGTCTCTTGCGCAGAAGGTGTGAGTTCGATCGCCACATCTGGAAAAATATTGTGTGATTAACATAGTGTTTTTCTGGTATTGTTACTTTATATATCTATTTTATTCTTATTCGTGGTCTTCATTATTGAAGGTCGTACCCGTCTTGAATAGCATTGACGAAATCTGTGACGAGCTACTTCCACACCACTCTGTCTTCGGTTTTCTTCAGGGTAGAGTAATAAAATATTATTTATTTATTAATAAATAAATAAATAATAATTAATAAATAAATAAAAATATCTATTTTTTGATAATAAATACATATTATACATCTATAATATGTATTTATTATCAAAAAAAGAACGTCTTAGTATGTTTATCAGTTACCCATAGTACTAGCTTTGCTTATTTTGGGGCTAGATAACGTTGTGTATAAATGTTCCAAAATATTTATTTATTTTATTAGTCATTTATCAGTAGCTAATAAAATGAAAATTCCTGATGAAATGTATTTATTACGTCAAGGAACCTCATTTCACCGAAACAGTCGCACAAGTATACTTTTCTGTAAGTATATTATTCTGTGCACACCTATCTTACGATTAATTAAGTAAATTATAAATATTTTCAATGTGGACAAGTCGAAGTTATTTTAAACTACATTTTGTCAAATGTCTATATATAGTATTTGACGTTTGACAAAATGTAGTTTAAAATAATAATTGCAGAATTCAACCTCACTCGAACGCAACTCGTAGTGTGCAGGCTGTCCTTATCGAGTATCGATTTAACTAGCAATGCAATTTCGTCTTAACACGGACGGGGAATCTGATGACATACTTTACTGAGATATTTGTGGAACCTAGAACCTGGATTACATCTGTGTTAGCTTAACACACTTTCGAGACTATTTTAATGTGCAATGTGTAATTTTTATGCGTTATTTGTTTTTCAGTACAGTGCTTAGTAATCAGAGGATTTCGATTTGAATATAAATTGAAGAATATTGTTGTTACGCAATAATATCAATTTTGTACTTTCCTAAAAAAAAAAAAAAATTATAGATATTTTATTACAACTGATTATTAAATGAGATGATATTTCGGATAACTTTCATTTAAAAATAATATTGGTTTAATTCACGTGTTAGGTAATAAATTATAAGGTAAGATATATCTTGGTACACCATGCTTTAGTTTTAGGGATAAAAAATACTACTTTACCCCCTACAATTTATTTTCAAATTTTAGCCCTTTTATACCAATACCTCGTTTGCGAGCACAGACGTGTGATTATTCTCATTTTACTTTAAGCGAGTAGTGGATTATCAATAATCTGGCATAAAATAAATATTTATTTAACAATGAACTGCCCTGCTTCATTCGTATTTACATGCCATGATATTGTTGGAATATCATGGCATTTAAATACGAATAACAATAAGTTTGGTAGAATGTTCTATCACAAATATTATAATAAGTAATGCAGCTTTGCAATGATTCTAATGTGTCGTAACTATATAGGTACATGGGGAAACCAAGTTCACGCGCTGGTTACTACAACTAGTTTAAACTGTCAATTGCGCCGCAACATTGTACTATATTACGAAGATTAAAGTACTTCTGGACGCCGTACCTTGTGCCTACAATGTAATATTGGCGCAAAAGTTTCAGAGATTTATACACTAAAAATTGTCTTGGCTGGATTCAGGACCTGTATAACATCGACATATAATTCACCATTGACAACCAGGTGTCCTTATTCTGCCTTCGAGTTATTTAGAATTCGGTTATTGTCTATGTTAAGAAAGAAAGCCTGTTTGATCCTTTTTTTGTTGATTCTTGTTGTTGATCCTTTGAAAAAAGCGGCAAACGAGCAAGAGGCTTACCTGGTGGTAAGTGATCACCGCCGCCTATGGACACCTGCAACACCAGAGGGCTGACAAATGCGTTGCCGGCCTTTTAGGAAAGAGTATGCTCTCTTCTTGAAGGTTCCCAGGTCGTAACGGTTCGGAAAGACCGCCGGCGGCAGCTGGTTCCACAGAACGCGATTTTCCTGCCTCGCACAGGCAGGAAAATCGCGTTGTTGTTTAACGCTGGACATCGAGGTGGTGCGGATGAAATTATTGGTTTTGGCACGATGTCCGATGGTGAAATTCAGCCGCCGGGATCAATCCAAACAATTCCTCGTAGAGGTTTTCCCGAGAAATGTTAGCACGGCCAGTGTACGAGACATCCACAGTGCTATCATCTGCATAGCAATGAACGTTGCTGATTTTCATCATATCATTGATATGCAGAAGAAACAGAGTGGGAGACAATACGCAGCCTTATGGAACACCAGCATTGACAAATTTAGGATCAGAGCATGCACCGTCGACGACGACCTTGATGCTCCGATCAGCCAAAAAGCTGATTTTCCAGTTGCATAACTTCTCGGGAAGCCCATAGGAAGGCATCTTCGAAAGAAGTGCTTTGTGCCATACCCGATCAAAGGCCTTTGCTATGTCTAGACTGGCTGGAAGCGCCTCACCCTTGCTCTCAACTGCTTCAGTCCATCTATGTATCAGGTAAACTAGAAGATCACCGGTTGAGCGACCTCGACGAAAGCCGTACTGGCAGTCGCTAATCAGCTGGTGCTCCTCTAGGTACCGTAGGAGCTGGCAGTTAATGATGGACTTCATTATCTTGAAGAACAAGGAGGTGATGGCTATATGCCTTTAGTTTGACGGATCCCAGCTGTTGCCTTTCTCAGGGATCGGGTGCAATAAAGCGGCCTTGCAGGATTTCGGGACTACGCCTAGAGTATAGGTGAGCAGGAAAAGACGCGTAACTCCGGAGCACATGTCTTCAACACAATCGGAGGGATGCCATCGGGCCCACTCGACTTATGAATGTCAAAGGAAAAGAGTGCTATGCGAACTGTACTTTGCCGCAATTGAACCTCCGGCATCGTAGCATCGCAACGCGGGGTTGTCGGTGGTAATTTTACTCGGCCATCCAAAGTCGAGTTGGATGCGAAGAGAGAGCTACGAAGATCGGCTCTCTCTTTCACGGCATGGGCCAGCGAGTCATCCTCCTTGTGCAGGGGTGGAAAAGAAGGCTTACAGAAATTTCCGCGAGAGACCAAAATGCACGTGTTCCCATTGGAAGACGCACCAATCTCTCGCCAATTCTGCCAATGTGTTCCGATTTCGCATTAGCAATAACACTTTTGAAGGACCT